ACGGATCTTATAAATACAATTTTACGTGATTTTTCCATAAGGTTACATGTTAAATTGCAAATTTTTTAAATTTTACATGTAAAAGAGGGTACATTTAAATGATCTGCAATTTTTTTTTGGTATTTCTTATAGTATTTTGAGTATACTTTTAATGTTTAAATAATATCTGTCAAAAAAACCTATGTGTAATGAACGTTCTGAAGGAAAATTCATTGGTATGTACTAGTATGCTATTAAAAAATATTATCAATATGGGATGAATGTGAGTATGACGTTACACAAATAAATATATAGCGTAGGCAGTATAGGAAGCCGTTTCGGAAGATTCAATGAAAGGGCACAGTCTTGTATTGGCCAGCTTTTATATTTTTCATGTTGTATAGTGCCATAATAGATAGTTCATAATGGTTTAGTTATTACGGTTTTAATAAATATTAAAATATTCATTAAAACCATACCCCACTATCGTAGGTGCACTCATTCCCATGATAATTGCACTATCTTCGTACACAATATCGTTTCATAGGCGGTATATTTATATTTATAATTACATTATCTGTTATATAATTTTATAGAAGAATAACTTCTTACTTGGGTACCCAAGCACCCACTGTCCACTGGTTTCTGATGGTCTTTTCTGGAACCCAATTCACGACACCGACTTAGGATTAAGAATGAGTTTTAAGATCCAACCCACAGTCTCAACCCAATGTATTTCAATAATGTAATATTCTGTAGCTATACAAGCCTTTAAGGACTTAATAAAGCTTTCAAATAAATACACTACGCTAGTAGGTGTGTATCAAAAAAAAAAAAAAAAAAAAAAAAGGGCTATGAGCAAGGTCCATCACGGTTTAAATATTCTATAAGATTATTCGTAAGTATGAAAATATGATGTAATGTATTCAATAATGCAATAATGCAATTAATAAACTTATTGAGAATATAAGAAAAAATAACAAGCTCAGCAAAGCACTACCAGAAGGATGGTGTGGAAATGTGCTAACAAATTACATAGATAAAATAATTATTTAGGAACTGGTGGAAAGCTCGGTGGAAAGTGGCTGGAGAGGGCTAGAACAAATTAATATTGAAGCGTTGCTAAGACAATGTGTCTAGAAATTATCAAGGGGTTGAGGGGGATTTTATAAAAAGTGTAAGGAGAGCTGAAAAGGGGGAAGGGGGTGCAAAAAATAATTTAACTAAAAATGATATGATTACCGATATAATTTTACTTCATTTGGTTATAAAATTGTGAGTTGGTGAAGAGGGGGGTGGGAGCTTAACAAAAATTGAAGCCAATAATGATTACGTAAGAACTGATAGAATATTACCTTATTTAGAGGGTGGTCAAAGATGGGCTGAGGGGTGTGGAGGGAGATGTGTGGAATGATTTTCTAAAGTCACCTTATAGCACAAGAAAATACATTAGTAGAAAGTTAAAGTAATTTATACAGAATCCACATGCTTTTAGCATATATGTTAATAACATGGTGGAATTATGCGAGCAGTCTGGATAAGACTTATTTTGTCCTAAAAACTACCTTCACATTAGAAATATCTGCATAAGTCACTTTTAGGTAAACTATATTTATACACATACATATATTGCACCGTCGTAAGGAAAATTTTAACGTGCATGAGACTTTATATAGTTATTGAGATTGTATAGTATAATATGCTGGTATAATAATACAGACATAGGGACAATTTTGTAACTTCTATACTCTCTACAGACCTCTCGCAATTCAAGTATTTGTTCGCTCAATTTTTGCATGTTTTAGAAGATCATCTTATATTTTTAGTCAATGTTTACCTCAATATGTACGATGTCATATTTTTTTAAATTTTATTAGCTCAGTGTGAGAACTTCTCAAATATTATTTAAAAATTTTATAGAATGATTTATGTGCTACCTATGCAATGATATTTGTATTCAGTTTTTTTAGGTTAAAATATTAAATAATGTTTACTTTATACTATTTAAAATCTTACTGTTAAAAGGAAAGATATTTATATATTATGAGTTAATAATATTGCACAGATTACTGTAAAATCAAATTTTTTTAAATTTTACTGTCAATTTATCTATGCCTACCAAATTACTATAGCTTATCTTATAGTGACATGAGAATTTTGAATGTTACTCTTTTAATATTTAATAATTTTGAACAAATTAGCTTCTATTGAT